TATGTTAGAGCAAAAGACCATGGACAATCACAAGGATTAATAGAAGTTCATGATCACAGTTGAATATGAGATTTCTTCGATCCATATAAAGCTTACGAAGCTCTCCTAATTTATGGAAGAAAATTGATGAAAGAAATTTTATAATGTATAAAGCCTTATGTGAGGATCGCACTATAGTTGATATCATAATTGATGAAAGAAATTTTAGATGGCAGTGATGATTATAATGATGAAATAGACATTATTTCTGATAATAAAAGAGAAAATATAATAATAAACTTAGCCATTGTAGAATAATCTTCAAATCAATTTCTCGTATTTAATCGATACTTGTGCTCGATCTTACTGCTCTTTTCGTTACATCCAATCAAATATAATCAATATATAGCATATTTCCAATAAATCAAGTGTTCTTCTCTATTTTACATTATAAACCACCATAAAAATCATAGCCATAAAACCTAAACATCATATCGAAAAAATTAGGCCCAGATATTAGACTAGTTCAATTTAAAAATAAATTCAAAGATATTTAAGTTTTTTTAATTATAAAGATTTTATTCTCTCATGCTCTCAATAAATTTGTGTAACCTAATTTGGAAAAGAAATTGTTAAAAGATTATTCGATTATGATATTGTTTTAGAATCAACTAAAACCTTATTCCGTATTCAATACGAGTCTGATGTCAGACTAAGAGATTTCGAGTCTACCCAATTTAAAATATGTGTCGAACTCTACAAAACTATGTTAGAGACTTAACCGATAAAGTCTCTTTTAAGCTAAAGCTTAAGTTAACTTTCAAGTTAATAGTATCAACTGAATATTAAATTTATATGGGTGGAATGTACTCGAAATCATTCCGAGAACCGAAAGGTCTTTTTATGTATGAGAATTTTGGATTGTTGTATTTAAAATCATTATTTAATACCGCAAATGATTATGTGTCTTCTTCTACATTTGGTGTAATTATATTACATCGAATTTGAAAGATATGATAGGGTAGTGAGTATGATTGTAACATCTGAGGACGAAATCATGTTAGCTATACGATAGTAACAGTAAGGTATCAATAATAGTTTTCAATTCATCATATTACCTGCGTTGCTGCAAGAAACTTGTGCGTGTATATTAGCACCACCAAGCACAGACGGTACGAAATTAAGCCATGCAAAAAGACATCTTCCCCATTATTTTACTTGGAAGCGTACGTCTTTGCACGCTTGCGGACACCTCCAAACGCTGCTGTCAACAGTTCCGTGTTCGCCACGGTGATCTCTTTCGGTGATGACGGTTTGATATGGACCGAGGAGCTTTCAGTGCAAGTCTCCATTGTTTGGTAGCTATATGATAGTGTGAGATGCGCATGGCTACATGTCTAGGTTACGTGGAGGAGAATAGATGAGCTGATGGTTAGATGGAGACTTGAGGAATTAGGCAGGTAGGGGCCTCAACACATGTTGTGCTTTGCATGTTGACGGCTTGTAGGATGGATAAAACAATGGAGCATTCATTCAGTATGTCTGATTACGTATGGTAGGGTTTTTTTTTATTATTTCAGGAAAAAAAAAAAGAAGAAAAATACTATATGCACAGCATCACTTGATTCATCAGTAGTGTTCGATCCATGTCACAAAGCATCATGTTAATGTCCTCTAAGTTCCTTAGATACATTACTATCTTGGTAATCCGTGTATCGATATGAAGATAATATAATGCAAGTATTTATTTGAAGGATATCTCTTGTTTGGAATGGTATTTTGTTCGTAGTAAGAAAGTGTTTGGATATATTTTAAGCACCATCGAACGACTACTGACTTACGACAAACTTAGCTAAGTGGATTTGATGATTTATGTTTGTGTTGGAAAAGCTAAGTTTATTAGGACTTACTTTTAGTTTACGGAACCAAATGGAGTCATCGATTGCACAGTGAAGACTTTTATTTCGCACCTACAAAATTGTAGTCAAATTTGTGAGACTATATGTTCTAAAAAGGTACGATTGAGTTTGTAATCGCCATCTTTTAGGCCGGTGTTTTTATATTTTTTGGACTGACCTCATCACCTTTCCTTTCCTTGGTTTCAGTACTTAAGCAACATAAATGTCAATCCCATCTAAAATGGAATTTAACTTTTATGATCGGATTGCTAGTCATATCCAAATGCCATATCTTCTTCATATGTCACTAACACCAGCCATGAGAATCTCTTTTCACAATTTTATAAAAAGAAAAAGAACTACATATTGTTCCTTATTGATCAAATCGCATCGGTTGATCGATCGAAAAATTTAGAATCAAACTCTTGATCGATCTGATTCATTTACGTATTCGATAGAATTTACATTATATATTTTTTTAATTTTTTATATAGCTTCTTTCTCTTTCGATATCGTCAAGTTGTTTAAATTAACAAATGAATCATTAATAAAATTAAAAGATTTGGATTCGATGTACAACTAAAGACATAAAAATTATGGGATAACATGGGTCGTTGTCCGTCTTAAATCTATTCTCACGATCATTCGTCCTATTATAAAAGCCCCAAGTACATTATAATTCAATAAATGATATATCTATAATATTATCAATAATTCTTTGGATTCAACATTTAACTATATCTACCAAATAATATTTCTAACTAACTTAAGTATTAAAGGTGCTTCGTGCTTTGTTAGGTATATTCCTAACATAGCCTTGTAGTGTGGGGATTTGGTATTCTCGTTCCTAATTAGCCCGTGACATTCTTGGGAAATGACTATAATTAAATCTATCAAACAACAAAAATATCTTATGTTACAAGGTTCAGTAGTGTTTAATAAGTTCATCCATCTTTCTTCATGTCCTTCTCCATCAATTGCATTAATAAACAAATAGTTTATATGGTTGATTTTTTAAGATCAAATCTTTTCTAAAGTCTCATAATTTTGACTTGTTACCTTAATTCATTTAAAACTATACTAAATTATGATATCTTGATTATTTTCTAAAGTCTCATAAATTATTTTTTCTTCAAAATCATCATACTTTTGCATCTTGATTGGATAAATATCAATTTTCATTGTGAGAGTGGTGCAAAGTATACAATCCTTGTGTGAATAAAGGATAAAAGGTGAGCTGATTTATAAAAATTAAGAAAGAAATTTAATTCAATGATGTATGGGGGCATCAAATCATCAAATTTTGTAAACAAAAATTAAAATAAAAACATAAAAAATATGGTAAGTGATATAGTATATTTTGGGTCTGAGACACGTCACAACCGATGTCACGCCGCACTACAACCGAGTCAGCAGGGGGAGCACCCCCACGCGTCAAGTCAGAACTCGTACGAGGCATGGTTTGGTATGTCTCGTCCCGGAAGCTCGAGACAGCGCCGTCCGGCGTCGTTCCGTGCGTCCCGGGATGGTAGCCACACAAAAGTATCATCTCATCCTTCGAGAATCGGTCGTCATGCCAAACCCGCGTATGCCTTACCCTCGTACAGTAGTATAACAGGCCTCGGCCGGTATCCGGCCAGGGGGAGAGAAAAAAGGAGAAAAAACAACCACTGCTCGTCAAAGGGGCCAAAGTCGGGAATCATCCGACGAAGGCAAGCTACCAACCGGCCTGGAGACGGAGAGACACTACTCAACACAGATGATGCCCGGACCGAGAAACGCCGATCAACACCCCATCGTGAGGGCCCAACTTACTCGGCATCCAACTCAGTCGACAGAATACTCCCGACATCGACCCATGGACCAAGCCGTGCTGGCTCATTAGCCACGGCACATTTGTTCACTAACAATAAGTGATATCGGTAGATTGACACTCTAAAATGCATTATCGACATCTTAGCAGTACGAGGATACCAACTTAACAACACTTAACAAGCACTCAACTAAATTAGTCATTCTAAAAACTCAACATTCATTAATTCCTCTGAATTATTTATTAACTTAAAAATCAAAATCTCTTAGAATAATAAGTTCTCATATTAATTGAAAGATTTCTATGTCTATTCAAACATGTGAAACCACATGAAAGGCATTTGCAACTTGTGCTTGTATGCAACCAAACACAATCACAGTGACAAGATTCACAATTACATCATGTTTCTCAAGGTAGATCCACATACCAATCAAATTAACCAATGCTTATGGAGGAAACTTGGGTAATCCACACTCAACACACCACTAAGTGAAGTCTCCTTATCAATGCATATCGATTTTTGTTTTCATCTCCTTGGAGTCAAGAAGGAATAAAAATCATTAATTTGTATTGTTCATGCTTGGATTACGGAATCTTCTTCCTATTTCGTTGTTTGAATCTAAATAGAATCATAATTATAATCTATCTAAATTGAAATCATGTATGGTCCATATGCTTTTAAAATCGAAATTATAATCAAGATTAAGGTTAATTAAAACAGTTAATATATATATATATATATAGATTAATAATAATATGAAATTTTTTGTACTTATAATTTTTTATTTGTTACCATTTTCACTTTTGTATAACTCTGTAATATTCTCCATCATATTGTTTAAACTTTAGTTTACTTTTAACTATTTCATATTTCATAATTGTAAATTTATATTATCTGTAAGATTGTACTATTTTACATTATATATATATTATTATTTTTTAGTGCAAAAAGAAGATAGAAATTTCTTATTTTTGCACGATAATAAGTTCTCGTTCACATCGAACTTCTAAAAAATAAAAAAATAGTATTAGAATGATTAAAATTTCAAGTGAGTCGTCGTTAGATTTGATTATTTTTTGAGATTGTATCATCTTTTTTATTATTTTTATTAATTATTTTTTAAAATAAAAAAAAGTACAACATTATGTGCTGTTTATTTTGTTTCTTTATCGAGCATCACTGCATGCAAATCTTGGGTCTTTTTCATTCGATACGAATGAACACTAACTCGCAGATCGGATAAACATTATCAAACATCGTCCAATGAAAAATTTACAGAAATTAACTGAATGAAATTAGAAAATCTAATCATTTTGGAACATGAGAAAACTTCGCCATCATTTAAATCACTTCACAAGATTGATTCATATCTCCCTGAGTGGACGTCTTCCCTTGTGAAGGTCCTGTGGTAGCTTTGGGGATCACATTTCATGCCAAATCGAATCCCTTCTCAGCTTCAAAAAGTGACCAGATTTAAGTAAAATATTAATTCGGATCAATTTTATCATTTGACGGTCGAGATTAACAGTAGTGACAAGACGTATGATTTTACTTTTGATATAAAATAAAATAAAATAAAAATCAGATTACCACAATCAATTATTCCCATCCTCAATTTCCATCCACTTTCTATGTCATCAAATGATCCTGTAATCTTCTTTTCCCTCCAGTCTCGTCTCTCCACCCATGGTGAGTGTATTCGGATTCTGGTTTCGCCATAACCACTTTCTTATCTCTTGCTTTTTCTACAATAAATTAATAATATCAGTTAATTTACCAATTTTGGTGACGTCGTGCTTGACGTCGCCGTTATCTCTATATGAACTCCGTCGTCGCCGCCAAAAGTATCTTTGGAGGAACACGATAAAGACGAGGCAAGCGCCGATTGCCCTGGGATGCCTACCACCATGATAGCTTACGTCGAACAGCAACGGCGCCTCGTGTCTGACGGCGATGCGGAGCCCAGCGACGGCGGCGACGCCGGCCAGGAGAACATCGGCGCGCTCGATGTCGCCGCCGCCGCCGCCGGAGACATCGCCCTCGCTGCACGGGACTTCGGCGGTATGGTCTTCATTCCGCCTGCCACCCTGCTCCGGCCGTCCACGACAGACGACGTTGTCCGCGCCGTCTGCGTCGCTAGGCGCTCGTCCCGACTTACCGTCGCCGCCCGCGGCAACGGCCACTCTGTCGGCGGCCAGGCCATGGCTAGGGGCGGCGTCGTGCTCGACATGCGCGATCTCGGGCCCCCCATGGAGCTAGTCCGGTGCGGGGGCGTTGCCGCAGACGTCCCCGCGGGGGCGCTGTGGGAGGAGGTCCTGGAGTGGGGCGTCCGGAACCATGGGATGGCGCCGACGTCGTGGACGGACTACCTGGGGCTCACCGTCGGCGGGACCCTCTCGAACGGGGGGATCGGCGGCCAGGCCTTCCGGCACGGCCCGCAGGTGGCCAACGTGGCGGAGCTGGAGGTAGTCACCGGCGATGGCGAGCGGCGTGTCTGCTCGCCCTCGTTGTGCTCTGATCTCTTCTTCGCGGCCCTCGGCGGGCTCGGCCAGTTCGGCGTCATCACCCGCGCCCGAATCCCTCTCGTCCCCGCCCCCAAAATGGTGAGCGACCGCCGATCCGTTGCTCTCTTATATCCCTCGTTCAGTGCGTCCTTTCTTTTGATATGCTTTCTGAACCGTCCAGTGTCATTTCGATGCAGGTGAGGTGGATAAGGGTGGTTTACAAAGGATTCGAGGAGTACGCGGGCGACGCTGAGTGGCTAGTGACTCGGGCTGACTCGGAAGCGTTCGACTACGTGGAGGGTTTCGCCTTCGTGAACGACGTCTCCGACCCGGTGAACGGGTGGGGATCTGTGCCGATCCTTCCCGGCTCGGTCTTTGACCCGGCGAAAATCCCGGCGGAGTCGGAGCCCATCCTCTACTGCCTCGAGCTAGCGCTCCACCACAACCACAGCGGGGCGGCGGGCGTGGACGAGGTGGGTAATCTCGCCCATCTTCCCAGGTGCATACGGACACACACCACGTATCTCTCCAGAGCCATCGTCGCGAATACAACGAAAGCGCGCACCTATACAACTCTTCGTCCCCGTCGAGCAGCATCTCTCTCCCGTTGGAACTCCTGACCCGCACCTGCTCGCCTTAATGCCCATCCGGAAGTCAATTAGGGTGGTGTCTCGTTTCGATCTCTCGTACTTAAGACTAGTGGCTCACACCGACTGGTCTCGGGCGATATTTTGCGTACAAAAAGGGGGTGGCTGCTGTAGCTGTTGATGGCCGTGGGGTAGCACTGTTTGCCGCCGTCCGGAATTACTTTGCCCCCCTTTTTAATCTTTTATATGCTTTTGGCAGCGGGCGAAGGAGATGATGTGGCCGCTGCGGTACATGCGGGGTCTGGTGTTCGCGGCGGACGTGAGCTACGTGGACTTCCTGTCGCGGGTGGGGCGATCGGAGGAGGAGGCGCGGGCGAACGGGACTTGGGCCACGCCGCACCCGTGGCTCAACATCCTCGTCTCCTCGTCGGACATCGCCGACTTCGACCGCACCGTCTTCAAGCGCATTCTCAGGAGGGGCGTCGGCGGGCCCATGCTCGTGTACCCGTTGCTCCGGAGCAAGTTAATGCACTACTTTCCTTTCTTTACTTTTTCCCTGGGTCTGAGTAGATTTGGGTGGGAGGGGAGTACCGAGGACTCGGTTGCGATTTCCGGGCAGTAACATACTTCTGCCGCCCCCCTCGCGGGTGGCCCAGCGAAACAGCTATGCTAGCGTCTATAATGAATGGCTTGTTTTCTTCTTGATGATGATGAAGGTGGGACCCGCGGATGTCGGTGGCCGTGCCGGAGAGCGAGGTGTTCTACCTGGTGGCGCTGCTCCGGTTCATCGCGCCGCGGGAGGGGGACGCCGCGTTGGAGGAAGCGGTGGCGCAGAACCGGGAAATCATCGGTTGCTGCCGGAGTAAGGGCTACGATTTCAAGGTCTACATCCCCCGCTACGAGAGCGAGGCCGATTGGGCCCGGCACTTCGGGAGGGACTGGGCGCGGTTCGTGGAGCGGAAGAGGCGATACGATCCCATCGCGATCCTCGCTCCCGGGCAGACGATCTTCGCCCGGGCCGAGCCTCCCGCCGCCGCTCCCTAATGGAGGCGGTGGTGACGGCTCCGAGGCTGGCAGATCATGATGATGTTGGGAAGACGGAAGGAAATAAATGCTGGAAAAGAGACGAATAAAAAAAGAAAATAGTTAGTGGCAGCTGAGACCGGTGGTGGGGATAGTTAGGTTGGTGGTTGTCATTGGATAATGATTTGCTTTTTCTTTTTCTTTTTTTCTTAACCCTTTGATAAAAAGTAAAAGAATTGTACAGGTGGCATTTTTCTGTTAGTCCACTTCTGATTGATATGTATCTGTAAAGAACTTTTTCTATTCATTATTCATATTATATTATTTAATATATATTTAATATTCTATATTATATTATTAAATTATTTATCAAAATTATGTTAAAAGTATGAGATAAAAGCCCCTCGAAAAACTTAAATTAATGAAATATTTGGCCGATTCGAAAAGTAGTTAAGGTTGAAATTTTCTCCTCGAGTTTAAATATATAAAAAAAAATCTTTTAAAATTTTTTTTATAAAGCTACACGATATCAGTAAATAAAGGATTAATGCTAAGGATCATCGAGTGTTACAATTATTGGATAACGACTCATATTAATACTCGATATCATCAAGTGTCACTTCGACTGAATTATCATGTTGTTGTCGAGTCATCATCCCATAATTGTCAAGTTGTTATCACTAGATGTAAGGATTTAGTTAAGCATTGATCGGATGAATATAACATGTCATTGAATTGATGGAGATGAGATTTGATCGATCCGATGAATATAACATGTCATTGAATTGATGGGGATGAGATTTCTAAAGATTAAAATATCTAATAAGAATTAGAATGATAATAATTCAATTTTATGAATAAAAATTGATATTTTTATTTTCTCATCACTTCTCACGTTACTAAATGGAACCTCGACATAGTGAGACGATGGATAAGATATGTAAGACGATTAAGATCGTATTTTGAAAATTATTGATTTAAGCGCTTGATTACTAGGTTGGAAATTGTTGTTATATTGATAAGTAAATACACAAACCATGTCCGATATCATTCCGGACTCAATTTAGATGACCGGAACCCACCCTCAATCTTAAGTTGCAAGGAAATTTCCTCGGATGCATACTTCCATGAGAGAGAACGAAATCCTATATGATCCAATGGGGAGAGAATAAATGCATGATCGAGCCACAAAGCAGTCTGTGAAACCCGCACAGGCGTACTCTTCCACGCACTGCAGCTACCTCGAAGCGATGGCCTCTTCGTTGCAAGCTCGACCAATCTGCGGGACTTCAACTGGCTCGACCACTGAAGCTGGCATTAATGCCCATAAAAGACTCGGTATCATTGCTCCTCGCTGGAGCCGCTATGATCCTGGATCAGCTTATCGCCAGCATTAATGCTCTCTTTAAAGACTGTTGATGCATGCTCCGGCTTCGCCGCCGTCGCTCCTTTGGGCTCATCGTTGGCGAAACTTAATGAAGCAAGTTGGAAGCCAGCGCGAGGTTTCCGCTCCTCGGTCATCTTCCTCGTTATACTTTTATCTCTTTTTGTTCTTTGCCATTTTATTTCTTGCCAATGTAATAATATATTCCGTATGCCCATCAAGACTTCGTCGGTTTGTTCTTTGTACATCAAGACAGGATTTCATCTAATTTAGATGAAATCTCCTGTGTTGTGTATGTTGTTATCGATGATAAGTTTATCAGATGAGAATTTAAAAGTATTAATGATAATCTGCATATGTTTTGTTACATATTTCTATTCGAGTTTCTCATCACATGTCTAAGAGACCTTGAGATTGCAGCTAAAGCATTATTAGATCAAAACAATGTGTCTCATCATTTCCATTATCCATCGATGGAAGGAAAAATGTTGTGTAAAGCTGAAAAGATGTAATGATCGATCCAAGGTCCATACTTGTATAATTATCCAATGATCCTTTTTGACACAACAGATATTTCTTATCATCATACAGTCCCAAAGGATCTTCTCAACAACACATCGTTCATCTCTCAATTTCATAAAGAAATATCTCCTCGTAAAATAATAGGGGAAAAACTCTTATTTTCTCATTTCTAGAGCTCATGGAACTCCTGCTCTCTCTCTCTCTCTCTCTCTCTCTCTCTCTCTCTCTCTCTTAAGTCGAATGGAAGATTATCGAAAATCATCGAAAAACTCTTAATATATATGTGTGTGCTCTCTCTGGAAGAGTTGGGTGGTCTAATACAAAATATGTGTTGGGTTGGCACTAAACTATAAACTGATATATCTATCACAAGTGATTGTTTTTATAGATGCATAATAAAAGAGAAACAAAGGGAGCTCAGCCAACTGTTCCTGAGAGAGATGTCATATACAAATCCTGTGGATGCTATGCCTCCCAATAAAAGATGAAACATTTGCACAAAGGTTTGGTACTTTAAAATCATTATGAAATGAATGATAGAATTGATGAGGATAATAATTACGATAAGACTCGCGCGACGTCAGCTGTCCCGGATAACGCCTCACGCCTCTGTTGACCTGACAGCACCTGGTCAACGCGGATCGAAATGCCTACCAAGGCACATTAACACTCTGCTCAGGCTCGATCCCTCACGCCACGCCAACGGCGATGTCAAACGCTACCAGAAGTACGATCCTGCTCCCTGCGGGCAGGCACATCAGGCAACGATAATTCTAACTATAAAAACCCTCGCGCTCCGAGAAAAAAAGGAGGAGGAGAGACGAAAGGCCCACAAGAAGACACAACATAGATAAAGAAACACCCTGCGACTATCCACTAACTAGATTGTCGGAGGGGTCGGGCCGAGCTCCGTGACCCGACTTTTGTGCAGGTGCGAAGGCGGAGGTCGTCCACTAAACGCGCAGGCGAGGAGTCCTCTCCCGGAGAGAATAGCTACCCCGTCTCGATCGGGACACCGCAATCGACCACCTCAGCAGTCTCGAGGAACGTCCCAGGAAGATCCCCCATCATCCGGATCTGAATCAAGCCGCGTCGGCCCCGAGGCCACGGCTTAAAGATGTTTACACTAACAAGAACAAATGGAATTTGGGAAGACAGCAAGATTGACCTGCATACACTTCTCACAAATTAATTTACTTGAGGCAAAAGAACAAGTCAAGGGAGCAATGACCCAAAGACACTGCACTCAGAGAATACATTGATGCAAAAAGAAAAACAAAATCTATATATCAACGATAAAGATTAAATAAAAAAAAAGTCGTCGATGTCACATTGTTAGATAATTTTTCTACGCAACAAAATATAAAGAATAAAATTCTTTCTTAAGCTTACCTAAATCCAAATCCAACTTCTTTAAACTTTCACATAAATCTTAAAGATTTTTTCTCTTAGCTTCTCACTTAATCTACTAGAAAAAAAAACCTTAACAGCCTTTACTACCATAAGATAAAAAAGAATATATATATATATATATATATATATATATATATATATATATATATTATATGAACATGATCAGTCTGGACTTTTTCTTATAGCATTAAGAGGAATATTTCGGAATGATTTTAAGCCATGGTCACCATATCTCCTGATAGGAGAGAGACTTAATCAAGTGATGATCTTTTAAGCTTGTAGTGGCTTCTGGCAGTATGAACTGCTGTAAAAGATCTCCATCCCGAATGGAATCCCAAATCTGTCGCTTTGTGAATCTAAGGTACATACTTGGGTTGTCGTTATCGACAGTAACGAGGGCTTAGCCAGCTATTTAACTCCTAATATTCCTTACAATTAGCTTGTCCTTGGTGAATGCTGCATTACCGAGGTGCACATGACCTAACAAGTAATATGGCATGTGAGCCACAAGGAAGACTTGGAAGGGTTGCTGAGGCAACACGAGCTGTTGGAATGGTTGGTGCAAGATGCCGGGATGCTGCTTTAATGGCTGCTTAATTGAGCTTAGGACTTTGCCGATGTGCACGGAAACCCTAGATCACGTTTTATTGCCTCATGACACAGCATTCGCGTAGCATCTCTGCTGTTATTTGGTGTGCAAGTCTAATCGATTCCTCTTCGACCATTCGCAGTAAATTTCGTTGATGAAATGTTTTGGAACTGTCGGGCACAACTATGTCGATCCAAAGTCTTGAGAAAGAAGGTAGAGAGAACATGATCCGAGCACAGAGTCCTTTATTACATGCCCAGTCCCTCGATTCACATAGCTTGCTTGCACTGCATGGTTTTCTTGAAAGAAACCAAGCCATTAATTCCAATTTATGAGATTCTCATAAATAATGTTTCTTCAATCAAAAGAGGAAAAGAATATTATTCCCCATCTATTCCTCATTCTGAAGTGAGTTTAAATAGTGTCATCGACTTACATCTTCTAGCAACAAAAAAAAAAAAAAATTCCCATAATGTTAAAAGTAATATGGCTCGACAATACATTGATATCAATTTGATTAATCGATTAGGGTTAGAAAGAGTTCACTTACTTATGATTTATGTGGCAATAATATTAGTGCAGGATTGGTAAGTTGGAGATCAAGTTTCCTTGCATGACTTTTTCCTCTGATTTCTGGGCCCGAACTAACATAATGATCGATTCTGCCACATACTATCGTGGAAAGCAAGTTTTGGGACCAGCAACCTAATAATAATAATAATAATAAATATGGCTTCTTGAGTTTTCCCATGCCATCATACACTGCTTCACACGGATTACGAGCCATGCATGCATGCAGGCATGCATTCACATGTCAACGTGAGGATGAATCTGAGGGACAGCGGTCGTCCATCTTCCATTCAACCATCATTAGTTTGGAGGCGGAACCGTAAAATGACAAAGGCATGTATAGTTCTTTCCTAATCATCGTCTCGTAGCTGCTTCATTAGCTATAATTAGTGGCTTTTGGTTTGCACGCTTGAGGTGAACTGTTCCCTCGTGGACAGCATTTTACATGCGTACTATCCATAGATTATGATTTTACCGATGCATACATAAGCCCATGTATATATATATATATATATATATATATATATGATGCGGTGGTACCGTGAGGCGAGAGTCACCATGTAAGATGCATCGAGCAGGCGCTTAAAGATGGTCTTCGTGGTCTAGGAAACCTGGTACCATATCACTGCCATTGCTACTTGAATGTGATAGGCAACGAGGGAGAGAGAAATGGGGAGGAGGCCTTGTTGCTCCAAGGAGGGACTCAACCGAGGAGCGTGGTCTGCTTGCGAAGACAAGATCCTGTCTGACTACATTAAGACTCATGGCGAAGGTAAATGGAGA